GCAGTTTTCGATTTAATGGAACATACAAAAAGTGGGATGCAAGAAAGTTAGAATTATTCTACGTAACCAGGCTCAGCTGTGTTGGCCAGTTTGCGGCTCCAGTGGGTTTTCCAGCAATAACTGGACAATTAGGCCACAGACACAGGGGTACAATGGCTTTCCTGCTGCCACCGAAAAAAAAAACAAAAAAAAAACTCATGATTAACTGAAATGTGTGCCTGTGGAAAACAAGACATCTTCATTGCAACACAGCAGTGACAAATTGGCAGCATGTTGCCTGCTCCACACTACTTCAGCACATCATGGTGCAACCATTCGCCCATTCTTTCGGGTAAAATAAGGAATTTAATAATGGCCAATGTGACAAAATTTTGATGTGTTCTGGCTGGAAAACACGATCATTAAAGCCTCCGAACTTATTTTTTGAAATAGGTATTGCAGGAAAGAACTCCACCAGCAGTGCAAATGGGCCAATTGCTTAAGCAGCCACCAATCAGAGGTTCGCATGCATTGCGAGTTCCGTCAGACTGAATTACTTTGTATTCCCAGAAACAATGGGCTAATTGTGATACACTGATGTTGCGAGAAGCAACCAATATGCTGCCCGTGCGCAGTTACTGTGTCGCAGTGGTGACACGAAACCCAGCGTATTGGAGGTCACCCTGGGGGGGACACCTCCCTCTACTATCCTTTGCGTTTTTCTTCTATTCAACTAGCCATGATCATTTTAAAGGCACAATCACAAAAACTTGCTATGTATTTCTGTGTTACAATCAGTTCATATACAATACACATCCTAGTCATTACAGAGTAGACACAATATTTCAAACACTGATCATTCGAACTTTTTGATTCAAGCAAACATAAAAATTTTCACTGGACTGCTACGCTTTCAATGTACTAAAGGAGTCATGAACCATAGCTCGCGCTCGGCATAAATAATACCTTGGAATGAGTGATGCCTTCCAGGAATACATAGCGGAAACAATTTTTCGAAAAGCTAAAGTATGACCGCATATACAGCTATAGATATATTTACCGCACGCATTCCCCCTCAACTCGCTTCATTCTGCAAGAAACGGCAACAATGTTCGTAACGCCCCGACCAGTAGATTACACGGCCTTGCCTTCAACGTTGTGCATTTTTTTTGTGCGTAACATGGTGGTGCTGATGGCTGCTGGTAACTCGTAGCTCCGGTTGGCTGCTTCTTGCTGCACTGTAGCTGCTGTGTATTCACTATCTCCACTTGGGGAAACCGGATGGCACTTTGAGCGTGCACGCGGCCACTCTTTTACTGCCGGTGGGCCAGCGTTTCCTTAGTTGAAGCAATGCCTGCCATTAGCACTGTAAGCTGCTCATGCTGACTAGAAAGGTAGTCAAGGAAGACGTTTCACAAGATGGTACTCCAAAACCATACTGCGTTTTGCTCATTTCGCAAGAAAATAGGCAACGAGGTATGATTGGGAATCACCTGCATTTTTATGAGCTGCCCTAAAAAACAAAAAACTCAAAGGGTAAATTGTAGTCCTTTTCTGTCACCATATGTTGGTAATATAGCTGGCTACATAGCAAGCTTTCTCTGTTGGAGTTTGCAGCAGCGGATTCTCTGTGCGGCGTGCCACTAGTGCAGCATAACTATAGTGAACTAGATAGAAGTATTGGGACGAGCGTGGTCCCCTTGGAGAGGCTGTTTCCACAGAAACCACTAGGCGGCGCTGCGGCGCCTTTCTCCTAAAGCGCACCGCAGTGGGCGCTTCTTTGCCGCACTTTCAAATGACGAGTGCGATATATTTAAAACTGATGCTTGACTTTTCATTGCCTTAATTGAGCCCTGTGTCAACGAAAAGAGAATAAATAGTTTTGTCTTGAAAGCTCTGAAACAAGAGAGTATAGGGACAAGCCTTTCAGTGAGAAAGCTTTTGCGCATGGCTACTCAGACAGAATGGATGCGGCCCTACACAGTCAATGCCGTGCACACAAAAAAAGAAAGCAAAAACGACACAGTGACAGATAAACAACTGAAAGAATAGATCAAACCATTTTAATTACCACAAACCCAGTCTTCAAAAACTATATATTTGCGAACACAAACCCATGCTTCCAGGCCGTTCGACTGAGCTTTTCTTAATTTTTTTTTTTGCTCTCTGTCCAAGCGCATATGGTGAAGACACGCATGAAAGAATTCTCGTGTTTGCGTCTTCCTTGTGAGTGTCGCTTAGAATAACATAGGAGCAGAGGAAGTTATTCTTCACAAGAGCCACAATGTTACAAATGCTGTTCCTGTGTAGCTACAAGGAAATGAAGCGCCTCTATGAATGTGCACAAATCAGGGCTGGACAGGGACACTCGTAAAAGTATTTTGAAAGTATAATAATCGAAATACACGTGCTGGAAGCTTAAAAATAGATACTGAGAAGTATTTATAAAAGATCTAATAGGATATTACGAAGATGGTTTTGCGAAACGATGAAAAAAGTATCCCAAAATACAGTTACAGGGATACAAATTTACAAGAATAGACACACTAAATTATTTTTCAAGTTACATGGATGTTGATGTTGACATTGTCGATAATGCAGCAGATAATTAAAATGCAAGTCAGCTGTATCGCTCGACTCACCACTAATGTGAGGTAAAGTATGCCTTGTTTCACACGCATGATCGATATCTGTTTTGCTGAGAATGTTTACGCTCATTGAACTTATGTAACAGCAGCTTCTCAAAAAAGACTGTCAGTAGACAGAGCGCTGGTTCAGTTTCAATTCAAGGCTGGCGATATAAAAAATGCTGTCTATTACTGTAGGCGAACAGGACTTCGTGTTGCAACAACTAGATACAGAAAGTGTCTCAAGAAAAAAAAAAACACTGACAGTGCTTAATTGGCCTTGAGTGAGATCTAAGATCGTCAGCACTGCCTCCTTGATTCTACACTCACTCGCGTCATACACCTAACCACATAGAAGATTCTGTGCATGTTAAGGATTCTTCGCTGATCTATATGTGCCCCGAGTGGCGGGGTGCTTTTGCCTAGCTAAGCACATGCAAGCACATGCAAGCACATGCAAGCTATTCCTTTCAATATTCTATACACATCAGCTCAGTTCCGGCAAAAGAGAAGTGATCAAGATAACCGTGTCTTCACAGTATTACGATCCATTTAATGCAAAGGTAAAGTATTTCACTACTGTGATAGAGATACATTTTTTAAATGTATCTCGACGCACCAACTCCAAAGTACCTCTGAGATTCTACTGCATTGCAATACTGTCCAGCCCAGTACTAGAAATCTTGTGAAAGGTACAAACGACCACCCCAGTCATTCAGTGTAGTCAGACGACAGCAATTTCATTCTGCTATACCCACAGGGCTCGTACAGGTTGCCAGAAAGAAAATTCAAGGATGTTCAAGGACTTTCCAGGACCTGTTGCAAGTTTATTAAGGACTCAAAGTGGCATGCTAAGCTGAACTTTTTCACTCTAAAATTTAAAAAAAAATTATGAATTTTATTGCACTTATAATGAATATATGGATATCACAATTAAAACAAAAAAAATCTAGTCTTGACAATTTCTCGCATCCTCTTCTTCACTCTTTTAAGGGAGAAGGGCCGCGCCATGTCAGAAAGTTACGCGCTGACGGGCTCCAATGCGTATATGTATATGTGTAGGCAGGCCTTAAAGGGGTGGTGCCACATGGCTTGCACACTCTTTACTGCAAGGTTTGATAATAGGGCAGCTCCAACAAGAATGATACCTGCCCCAAGTTTCATTTATTCTCGCTATATATTTTTGCCTGATTGATGTGGGCGATTTTCAGTTCCTGTTTGTGGGCACCAAGTTGAGCAGATATGTACAGTGTAGCCGACTTAGCCACGTGATCACAAAGCTTTGCACGTATCATGCTGAGTATCGTCTGCTCTCGCACACATGTGCCACACAAGCACCTGCAAAACAAATGCGCCGCTAGCTGCAGCAGCCGCGATGCTTTGCTTGTATGTACGAGGCTGAAGTCTGGAGGCCACTCGCCTCACTAGAGATCTGGTGTGACGTCACAACAACTTTCGCTGCCCTTCCTATAGAGCTACGTCAGTGATGGACGCGCTCGCGATGGGCCTCGGTTAGGAGAATGAGCAATTAGGTACACTTGGGAAATGACTTCAAATATATTCTAAATGTTTCCAAAGTGTGGCAACTGATGTGGAGTGTCCTTGCTTATATAGATAGAACCCACACGATTCTTGCTACGGCTTTGAAATTTGATGGCACCACCCCATTAAGAGTGTTGGCTTGTGCACAGTTGACACTTGCGGCATGTTGCTCACCAAACAAGAAGTGGCAACTGTGACAGTGGTTATTTACGCTCATTCTGTGGTGTTATTTTCTAGCATCCTTTTTGGTGTTTAAGCAGCATGCTTCCAGCGTCGAGCTGCAACAGTTGTTCAACAGCATTCATGCTTAGCGCTTTTTCTTCGCAAGTCCTTTGTGCTTGGAAGCGCGTTGCATGTATGGAGTTGCTTGCCCTTCTTTGTGTGACATTCTCATTTCCCATGCATTTTTGCAAAATGAGATCATGTGCACCCACCCTGCATTACTGCTTCAAAAACGGGGAGTTTGACACGCCGATCTACCACATTTAGGAGGTCGCGATGTCAATATAAGAGTGCACTGCTCACGAAATTCAAAGATTTTCAAGGATGGCAAAAAACTGCAGGACTATCAAGGGCCTTGAAAATGCATTTTTCAAATTCAAGGGTTTTCAAGGATTTCAAGGACCTGCACGAGCCCTGAGGTCCCAGTTTTACAACCTGGCGAAAAAAAAAAAAAAAAAAAACAATTCTTCCGCTGAGGCTTTTCCATCTAATAAGCGTACTTTGATCACACCACCAAAAATACCATGCACAAGCGACTACAATCGTCAGTGCCTGCTGTTAGAACAAACGTTGCCGGGCTGAGGCTTCAGGATAAAGGTGCAGTGGTGTGACCACGCCACGTACGAAGACTTTCGTCTGTTTCGCCTCACCGCCGCTGATTGCTTTCACTCTCTGCTCGTCCCACTACCCCTATCTAGTTCACTATAGCATAACTGTCAATAAATCGGTGGATACGTTCATGTTTCCTCACAAGCACAGGTGCCACAATGCAAGCACTTGTCACAGGGTACCCTATTTAAATACCCAGTGGCTCTGTCCTAGCGCATTACATATTTCTTGGACCAGTATGGCACAGAATACTGGGAGGCCAGCACACTGCACAATGCACGCTCGACGCTGACACATGGCAGACTTGTTCTCGGCCGAAATCTGGCTTTCAAGAAGTTTCTGAAAATTCTGGTCGTGGTCAGATCGTGATTCTGACTATAAAAAAAAAAAAGAAACTGAGTGAGCGAGGTTTGATATCAGCCCGTTGACGCAGATTGCAACGTGAAGAAACCGTAAGGTTATAGCACAGCTCTGTTTGAGCGTGAAGAAAAAAAAGCCAGTGAAGAAGGGAAATACAGACAGGATGAGCGCTCATCCTGTTGTCTGTATTTCCCTTTCTCATGCTCAAATAAAGCTGAGCTATAACCTTACAATTTAATCATGCGCCAACTCCCCCCCATCTGCAGTACTTGCCGCAATGTGAAGCTGACATGCTACCACTACACGACACATCAAAGACGAAATGCAGTGTTTTTACATAATAGCTCATTCCTGTGGCCTGTCTTTTCATCACCTTGTTTGAAAATACAGATCCCTGTCTCTCAGTGCACGCGACAACCTAACAGGTGATAGTTAACTCATTTGTTATGAGTCGCACAGAATCTAAATGTATATCTGGCATGCTTTGTCGAAAAACATGCTAGCATAACCTCAGATGTGAGTTGCATACAACTCCCAAGCAAACTTCCATCACTATGCACACTCGTTCAAACATACAGTGGCGCTACGTTCAGCAGATGACAATTGACCTTTACTGGAAGTGAGTCATCTCTTTGAAAACTTGCAACGAAGCTTTTTTATATTTCATACTGTAACTACAACAATTATACACAGAGTTAACAGAAACAAGCCCATCTGAGCCAGACAGTGCTCTTGATTTATGTCAGCTATTGGCCATTAACCTTTTGGGACGTAAAGTGACAGAAATGTGACATTGATGACGGATGCCCGCCCATCGACGGAGGTGAGAACCGGCCTGTTTGACAAGAGTACACCTGAAAAAACAGCCACTTGATGCTCTGATTGTAACCTTTACGCGACCCACACAGCTGCAATATTTGCCTGAACAGTTCATAGTGTGTCTGCTTTCCACAGGATATGTTTTTTTCAACAAGTCGAGGGGTGGTGCATGACCCCCTTCAGGACATTTAATTCTAACTGCCTCAGGGCACAAATTCAGTTAATTCATACTTTTCGCTTGTCTATGCTGGAATATACCTGCTGTCTTTGTCACTTCTAGCTGCAAACTTGCATTATCATATGTTAAACATTGGCAAATCATTTTCATTACTTGCCTACAAAGCACCCAAACTGCATGCACTGATAATAGCATGTTGACCCCGGATAGAAAATAATAATAATTCTCCAGTACTTGCCCTCCCAGAAAAAAGGGAGGCAAGCAACACTTGGTATGTGCATGCCTGATGTTCATTTCTTTTCTTCTTTTTTTAATATATCTAGTCTCCCTTTCTTCACCCACATGACAATTGCTGCACGCAACATTTATGTTCAGGTAGCAACAAAATGTGGTGACAAGAAATGACAAGACCCCTCAATAAAGAATCCGAGTGCCACATCAGAAACGGCTGATGCTAGCCCATGATCAAAAGAGTTACTGAAACACTGCCCATACCCACGTGATTAGTGCAACGTGTATAGGCGCATTTCTGGCAGCTCACTAGCACTGAACTTTTCGCGTACAACACTGCCCCATATCAGTGAGCCCTAATAAACTTTGCTTGAAAAAAAAAAAAAAAGAACCAAGACAGGCCGGTTTCGATATATTGCATGCTGAGTGCTTCTTGAGTCATCTTCACTGTAGTGCACAAGTATCACGCTAAATAGTGTACTAACATATAAAAAGGGCTACCAGTGATCATGTGACATGGTACACTTTGTCCCTTAATTACACATGTACATACGAGCAATGAGTCAAAATACCAGTATGATTTCTGAACAAGCATCACAGTAATGCACAGCTGTCAATGACGTTGTTGCAGCCATGAGAAACAGTATAAGTTGATATACTGCCGCGAGTCATATTTACGATAGCTGTAAAGCTTTTGAATATTCAAACAGAATCTTGGGATCCCCTCTACTTTGAATTATTGAGAGCCTACTGCATAAAGGTTTCATGCATTCTTTGACGAAAGAAAGAAAGCTCACAGGCCCTGAAACAATGATTTGTTCCAACTGCTAAAAACTATCCAAACAAGCCTACCCATATGCATGCCGAAACAGAATTATTTAAGATTTTTAATCCACTTAAAGCAATATATTTTTTCTCTGCCTGGTTTCCTTATACATGTGCACACTGTGCCTTATAACTATTTAAATTGATATGTATATGTATCAAAAAGGCTGTGCAATTACATCAGCACTTGCAGTGAGGCGTTAACAACTTCAGGCTACTGGCTCAACTTATTTCAAAGCTGCTCTCGCGCAGATGCACAATACTAGGGCTACACCTACTGCTGGAAACTTGCTAGCCAGGAGGAATGCAGTGCAAGAAATGCGAGCGTAGAAATTGCTACAAATCTGCACTGTGCACATATTTTTGTTTGTTGGCCAAGGAGAGCTTTTGTCTGATTTTTAAATTCACTGTTTTTCAAGTCAGCTCTCAGAGATGCTGCACAGAGCATGGAAGCAAAAATGGCGCGATGGGAATTTTTAAATAAATAAAATTGAAGGGGTAGTAAAAAGAACTATTAAAACCATCACCCCCTCAAAAATGGAAATGGCCTGAGTGCACAAATCATGACTTGGTAAAGTGACACAGCCATGGACTATGTGTAATGAAGAGGATTCTTATGTTAACTTATTCTTCTGGCATAACCCAATCAGTCTGTCAATGTTGCTTATGAGTGCCAGTACAAATTCTGATTTCCTACACAGCCTGCTGCTGCTGTCAGAGGTCTCGTGCTTCTAAGCCATAACGAAACCAACTTATCTATGCTGATGCACAAATCTGAGACCTATGATCCTCCAACAGCTTACAGGGGTCTTGCATGACATTTGCAAGCAGCCACTTTTCACGTCACCAGATCCCAATCAGAAAATCTTCTTAGGCACGAAATAAATACAAATTATAACCATTTCAATACAACTTCCTTTGTCAAAACATGGTATACTAAAAAAATACACTAGTGGCCCATGTATATTGGCTGAGCTAGAGATCCTATCAGTCCATGTGTGTGCACACTTAAGGAGGCAAGACCTACGTAGTAGGAATGTGAACAATCGAAGCAGGTCGGTATTGCTAAATAAAACACATGAGGCACGTAAATGGAATGAGAAAACTATCTAATGAAAAGTGATAAAAAACAAACAATATTGGTCCTACCAAAATGGAAACAATATTGGCCTTACTGGTATTTGAGCTGGCTGTTCCCGTCATATTGCTATCCTTACATTGCCACTGTGTACAAAGACAAATGAGCTATCATTACACCAGGCAGACACCGCGCACCTAGTTTGCTGGCTCTATCAAGGTTTGTATGACCACAGGTGTCTTGAAATTGCTTTAATTGTCCAGCTTTCTTGGCAGAATTTTTCATGCCAGACAGCAATCATTCTTAAGTGGAGCTCTCTTGACACAGAAAGAACAACACTAAACAACACAGAAGTCCCAGGTAATATAGAACCGCGAAGAGACAAGAAATTCTTGAAGACAGGGTATCACAGAGCCAATGTTTCATCAAGCGGACTTCTCCTCTTCAGTGCTTTCCTTACGGGCCTCGCTATACGAAATGGTTGACAGGACAGAATGGGAGTTCGGTGTTTAGCTCTAACAAGAGCAAGTGCCCACTGGCAGTGTCAATTTCACGGTGAATAGAAGGGTTAGAAATTCTCAGAAAAAAGGCTCAATTCGCACTGGTTTTCATTTGGAGAGGTTGCTACCAGCCATAAAGAATAGAAGCCTACTTGTTAAGATGTTGGCTCCAGCAACAACCCCCATTAAAAAACTTTTCAGCTCTTTAAAAAAGAAAAAAAAATACTGCCACTTTCAAACTTGACTTCGTATTAAAGGTTAGGTACCGTACTAAAGGAATACAACACATAAACAGAACATAGGCCAGCACCTTTGAGCATGCATGTGCAATTCACTCAGTGCCACACAGAACTAACTAGCTTAGGAGTTTTTATATAAGGTTAGCCATGACGTGATGATTTTTCTTAGGTCTCTTTTCATCATTTCAATTATCTTGCATGCTTGCATAAATGCTTCCAGTTGCTGCAAGAAACAACGTCCTCTGTATCAACAAAAAAAAAAGGGCATTGCTGATAACCGGCACTTTTCTCCTCACGATCGAGCATAGTAGCAACAAACGTGAGACAATTCACAGTTCATTAGTGTCATTGCACTTAGTATCTAACATGGCCACGCAGACAAAGTCTTACGTTGTTTCACGCACTTTCTCAAAGAGGTAAGCTTGCAGAATCCCATAACACTCGTACAGGGCTACATATGCATATATAAAAAAGAAAGACTGACATTTTTGCACGTAACTAAATGCAAAAGATAAGCAAGATCAATATAGAACACAAAATATATCCAGAATGGGTATACACAACATGTGCAGACTCATCGGTAACACGAGACTACTGTTCTCAGAAAGAACAAGTCTCATAACTCGCCTAATGGTTAGCTTTCCACTGTCTCAGCAGAGAGACATTTTAGTTCAAGTACACAACACATTTGTAGTTCAGTTTTGTAAGCACTTGCACGATGCATAGAGTCGTAATGAGCAATACCATGAAATGCTGGGGTGCTGCAATTTAGACCAACTCTAGTGATGACCGAGGGGAATCCAAAGCCTGCTCACTGATAGTTCTCAAGGGAGGCCGTCCGCATTCAGGCGGTGTCATAGACTCTGGTGTAGAATCTGCACTGGCGGCAACTGCACCCTGGTAGTTAGCTATGTCACTCATTAGTTCTTTGGGAAGAGGGCTATCCACAATGAGGTGCAGGGATATTCCTTCCAGCCACTTCTGGAGCAGCTCAAACGGGGGCCTGCATACAAAAGAATACAAACACATTTACATGTTTTTTCCACTCACAGAGTCAAGATATGAACAAGGCCAATCAAACTTCTGTTCCTGAGACATGCGTAACAACAAAAATTATGCGTTGCAGCCCAATCGCCAATTGCCTCCTACTATCCAAAAGAGTGCTCTGTGTCACTCGACTGCAGCATAAGAAACATTATATAATTTTTCTGAATGTGCTTATATGTTCCTGGTTCGCTGTGGCACATTTACAATTTGACATGCAAGGCACAATTAAAGCACATAACCTCAAAGCATGAAGCAGCCACTGTTCAGGTACAGGAGTACGCACCTCTTCTCTGGGTCCACGTCGCAGCACAAGAAGGCAATGCGGTAGAAGGGCTCTGGACAACTTGCACAAAACTTCTCTTTGAACACAACGCTGTTGAGTCCGAAGTCATTGCTTCTGGGCAAATAGTCGGGGTCAGCCTGTACCCTGCCAATTATCTGAAAGAGCAACGGTTGCCTTTCACAGCCGACCTTAAGCTGCGATGAGTGCAAGATCTTCACACCAGAATCAGGAGCACTGCACATTATGCAAAGACGACATCCTTGTGCACCTTCAGGCACACTGTATCCTGGAAGTGGTGTTAGCCACTCAACACCCTCCCAACTGTGCGAAAGCCAAGTACAGTAGTTACTTGCGTAATGAACCAACTCACATAATGAACCTCCCATCCCCTCACTTTGGTTCTGAAAAAAATAATGTATCTGCTCATTTCATTTCTGTGTGATAGCGAGCGCCATTGACAACTAAAACAACCCTAAATCCTGCCATCATACAACAAAATGACGATGCAGTAGAGGTCAAAACATAGTTTTACAACCATGCTAAACAGCTGCAGGCAGCCCGAGCCTGGACGACGTCGATTAAAGGTTAAAAGTCGCACCTTTCAAAGAGACTCGAACATGGAAAGTACTGCGTTCTTTCTCTTGCCATCGCACTCTCTCGGCGGGCTTCACCACATAAATGCTCCAGCTCGCTTGCCCTGTTAGTGTCTCAGCGCACTCACGGTCTTTTAATAAATAGATGTATGCCAAAATTTCTACAATGAGATATACCTGTATTATGAATAATAGGTCGTAACATGAAAATCACGGCATCCATCTGATGTACAGCCAGATTTCTATGCCGCGCTCATAATGGGGTCGTAGCCACATCGCTAGCTTGATTTTCTCAAAAATTGGTGCTTTGTGAGGCGACCGTATGAGAAGAATGAATAAAAAGTGGAAACATCAAAATCATGAGGTGAATTTCCCGTACGACGTGATTTACATGCCGCACTCATAGTGTGCTCAGGGCTGGCTGGCTAGCCTGATATTTACCAAAATTGGTAATGTGTGAGGCGACTGTATTGATGAACACAAATGATAAGCACTACCATGAAAATTGAGACATTCATGTCAGTTTTGGTGTCATTTACACGCCACAATCTTGGTGGGCTCGCAGCTGGTTCGCTAGCTTGACATACACCTTTACCTACATTGGTTATGCATCGCGTGACTGTATGACGAACATGAATGGGAGGTTGGGACAGAAAAATATGACAAGGATGTCATGTAAACCATGGTTTACATGCCGTTATTATGGTGCGCTCGTGGCCAGTTCGCCATGTTCATATAGACCAAGATTGGTATGGTAGTACATTACTGAATGACAAACAAACTTTGCATTGCCACAAACCCATTCATACCTAAAAAGACACAATGTGGAGTAAAACACCGAAACAAGTGCAATTGTGTTTCTAAAAGAAGCTGACAGTTATGGTGGCTAGAGCTTCACCAACCAAAAGAGAACCGATGGTTTATTTCCAGCCTTTTTAATGTGAGATATGAGGGAAAGGGAACAGGGTGGCAGGACTACACTGATACAGTCACACTAATAAGCTGTAGTCTGATACAAGTATGTTTATTGCACTAAGAAGGTAGTGTGCAAATTGCCACTTTTGTGTGGATGGCCAAGAGATCATTACATCGCTTGGGTAAGCATGCAAACAGGCTGGAAAGGGGCAGCGATGAAAGTTTGACCATTTATTGGCACAAGTGTTCCATACTACCACCAATCATACACATAGATCTCGTCATAGAGTTTCTGACATAAAATAATTTATTAAACATTCATGACAAACCAGAGACTTAATCACATAACTCATGTTGTACATGACATACGTGACATGATTTGCACTTTAAGATCAGTCACTTTTGTTTGTCATCCACTCTTGTCACACCAATACTAACTGTCGTCTGTATAAAGTTAATGAAGCGGTTGAAAGGGCACCAAGACAGTGTCGTAAAATCATGTGGTTCGTCACATAATTGTGGGTTTTACATCATGGTGAATTAGACCAATATAAGAAGTTGAAGTTGAGAAAAAAAGCATTTTACTGGTGGGCTGCCATCAAAACCTATTAGAAAATTGGGCTTTAGAAAATGCATATCTGCAGTTTTTTCTTGGCACAGTGCCACCCTATTGGCATCTTCGTAAAGAGGTTAGATCAGAGTTCAATATAGTCACAAAGATGTATTTTTCCAATGAAAAATAAAGCAAGCTCCCTTACCAGTTTTGTTTTTTGAGCTTCTAGCTCCAGTTTCTTTGAACTCCATTTTCTAAGCCTTCATTTATTAAACAGTTGCTGTCAGTCATCTCTGTTTCACTTCTCAACAAATGAAGACATAGCGATTCTGTTTTCTGCATTTAAATCCTGAGACATTGGTGAGTGCCGTGAAGCTGTCCACATTTGTGTGCACATCAGACAAATTTTTATAATTTACTTTTAGTAAAAGTTGTACTAAAACAATATGCCCAGGACATTTCAAAGATCTTTTATATGCTTACTTTAATATTAAAAAATAAACCAATAGCACTACGGCACACTAATGGGCCCTCGTGAATATCATTAAGCAAAAATTTTGAGAAACTTGTCTAATTAATAAATTTTGCGATGACAGTGAGAGTATCATATGTTTTAGCTCAAAAATCAATTAAATAGCTGAGAACAGATTTCTGTTATGATATCAGAACAACAAATTACATATATATGCCGAATTTTATCACTTCATCTTCATAAATAACAAAAATAGTTTTCATTGCCGCATTCCCCCTCAAGCATCATGCATACCACCAACGCAGAGAGCCCCGATCCAATCTAAGCCAAACCAAAGTCGCAAGTACGCATTGCAACATGTTAGTGCTAGCAGTGCTAATCTGTGTAGCTTTGGCGTAGCATTACGACGCTTGCGTGACGGTAGGTGGGGGCGAGCGGATCGGACGTGTTCGTCTTGGCTCCTCAAAATTTTCCCTGTTTTTGCGTTAAACTTCGTGGCTTCTTTAGAGCAAAGTAGAGTGTGTCTGGAAGTATGCCGTGATCATTCTGACACCAAGGTATCACGACAACACCCATTTTTTCCACTCAGAAGTGACCAAGGTCTTCGCATGCCCGGGCGCCAGGCTAGGACTAGCGGCGAACCGAAGAGCAGTGCATCGACTACCAGCAACTATCCTGGGCGTGCAGATACAGCAGCCAATAACCCAACGGACGATGACCAGGTAACGGCAAAGGAAGCCATGGACACAGACAATCAAGATTTGAACACAGAACAGGGCTCTGCAGAAGATTTTGTCGAGGATTTCCCATCGTCTGACGAGGCGATACAAGTGGAGTGAGCCAGCGGCGACACGAGCGAACACCATGAAGCGTCAAAAGGAGCCGACGACGAGGCGAAAAACGGTCAATAGCAGCTTGCTTTTTCGTTACGTGAATGTAAACGACTAAGGAAGCAAGCGTGTGCCATGGAAGATTCCAGGCAAGTCCGTGATTCTCAGCACGCTGGCCTTACAAAAAGAACAACTAATAAATAGAGGCTGTTTCACATGCTGCTATTCCAGTGAAAAAAATCGTTCCATTCGCTCCAATCGCTCTGTTCGCAACCGCTGCTAATGGCAGTTTTCGCTTCACATAAACCGCGAAACGGTCCGCGATTTTCGCTCTGCGACTGAAGGGCCGAGCAACGTTTCTTGGCACTGTTTATTGAGGCAGACACTGTAGAATTTTTCAAATATAATGTAACAATCTGTGAATTATGATATTAGTAGGTTTATATGAACGGTAACGAAGAGTACTTGTGTTTCGTCATTTAGAACACTTTTCAATCAAACTACACTTAAAATGGTGCAACAGCAGCCATTACCAAAACAAAGACGTCGACCCAATTTCGACAGCTTGGTTGGCCTGGCCCTACTTTGATGGGTCCTGAACAGAAATTTCTCCCGCCGCTGCGATCAGAGCGGAAATTTCATACATGTTTGAAGCTCGCTGTGGACCGCTGCGGCGGGAGCAAACTGGCCTTTTTTTCGCTGCAAGCGAATTCGCAGACTGAAAATCGCTTTTTTTTGTGTCATGTGAAACGGCCTTTAGCATCCCTGGCGAACAGCAGCTTCAGAGACAGCGAGAGGAACGCTGGTGGAAAATAGAGAATGCTTGAGCGGGCGCACGGGAGTAGACGCGACGCGTCAAGTGCCAAGAGAGGCTGCCGAAGCTCACATGCGACGCCTCTAACCAAGAAAGATATGAAAACTATTATACGACCCAAACCACGGCTCATGGTGAGACACTTGAAAACATATGAAGTGGCACGAGCGATTGAATGTGCATGTGAAAATGCGGAAATGTGCAGAGGTGACAAATTTCCACTGTGCCTCTGGAATGGGTCCACCATTATCACTGCAAGTACTCCACATGAGCACATCACCGAGCAAATTTTAAAAATCAAAGCACTCAACCTCAAGAACACTATACACTTCGTGAATACCTACATTTCTACACCTGAGGGGTTTCTCAAGGAAGTTGTGCACAGACTGCAACGTGAAACACTGTAAGAAGAACTTCTCAACAACCTTTAAGTACGCACACAGGGCGTCACAATCGTGCAAGCACACATGTTGGAAAAATCCGAGACTGCCATGGTAACTTTTGATGGACCATTTGTGCCGCGTTTTGTGTATTACCATGGTGGTGAGATGCCATGTCTATTATACGAACCCACAACACAATGCTGTAAACTGTGTAAAAGCGAAGGCTACAGGACTGATGTCTGTCCAACACCCAGGGTAAATGTGTGTGGTGGCTGCTTAAAGACCCTCCAAAAGACCACGAGTGCATTCCTGAGTGTGCACTATGTTGCGGGGACCATCCAACAGCATCAAAGGAATGCACTAAGAAGCTTAAGGTCCCCCAACAGGGAAAAAAACAGCTACAGCAGTCTAGGCAGCAGAATAAACAGCGATCCTTAGGAATACTTAAGCATTGGCGGTTCAGCGCTGAAAGGCAGGATATGAATTTAACGGAAGGGTACGACGCGGGATCACGCTCTAGGTCTCGATCCAGTTGCCGCTCAATATCAAGGTCCCGATCCAATTCTCGGGACCACTCCAGCTCCAAAGGCAACTG